CTCAGATGTCCTAGATTGAGGCTCAGATTCCCCAGTCAATGAAGAATTGTCCACCTATTTGGTAAAGTAGGATTAGGGTTTTTTAAATTTTAAATAAAAGATTAATGTTTTGAATGATTTTTTGTGAAGAAATTGAAATTAAATTATAAAATTCTTTGTCATTTTAAGATTAATATAAAGATTCAAGTTGGAATTTCTAAAAGTTTGAATATGTTTCTCTTTGAAGTTTTTTTTCCAAACGAAATTGAAAATTTGAATTTGAAATTTGTATAAATTGAAAATTTATTCTATATTTGTCAAGAAATGATTTATGGTGAAGATAGTTTTTTATTCATGAAAAAAACCTTCCTACAAAATCATTTACAAAAACAAAAAATGTTTACTTGAAAAAGTTATTTCATACTTTTCAAACAAATTAGCTCAAAATTAGAACATTGTTCCACACATAAAGGAGAATATCTCATTTTACATTCTATCATTTGACGCTAATAAATCAATTGCACTCACGATCGACCCAAACAATGATTTACGGTTGGCCATCAATTTGCACTTAATTGAATAACACAGAGCCTACATACCGTGGATTTATCTTCATTCATACAATGTTCGCTTGATTGGGTAAAAAAACACTAACAATGTGTACAAATCAGTTAACAAACCAAAATCAACCATCTGACATATCTAACTAACAGCCTCAACCATCTGACCTATTAAACTAACAGCCAATCAAACAGCCAAACTACCACTAACTCACCAACCAACCAACCAGCCAATCAGAAAACTAACCTGCAATCTAACCAACCAAAAACCATCTAGTAAAAAACCCAAACTTACCAACCAACTAACAACCAGCCAATCAAAAATCAAACCCAGAGACAAAACAACCTTGACCCTATCTCTAACCCGACCTTGAACCCATGAGCGGAAATGACCCTCATGTCGGCGGGCATCCTATCACCGAACTTCACCTCAATGACGTCACCGATGACGAGTTCCTCCGCTCTGACGTTCAACTTTTCGCCATTGCGTATGACGATTGCAAACTGTGTGAGTTTGTCGTGATGTGTGTGTGTGTGTGTGTGGTGGTGTGTGTTTGTGTATGTGTGTGTGTGCGCGTGATGTGTCGCATTAAACTGGCGTGTCGAAATGTCATTGAGAAGCCATGAAAGCCGCTATGCAGGCATTCTTCAATTTATTTACATTTCGACTGAATGACATTTTCTCATTCAATTTAATTCTATATTTTTTTTATCATTTTTATTAAATTAATTTTTTTTTTAATTTTATTTTTATTTTTTCTTATTCTCCGGACCGTCTGCTCTGTGTGGTTTTCGGCTTTCGTTTGACGAAGTATTTTGAATGGTGGATTATTTATCATCATCGCATGTACAAACATATCATCATCGTCGTCGTCGTCTTCATCATCATCATCATCGTCATCGTTATCAACATTGTCATCATCATCATTTTCATCATCATCATCGTCACCATCATTGTGATCATCATCATTTTCATCATCATTGCTATCATCAATCATCGTCACCCTCATCATTGTCATCATCGTCGTCACCATCGTCACCATCATCATTTTCATCATCATTTTCATCATCATCATCATTTTCATCTTCATTGCCATCTAACCGAAGGCAATCGATCATTTTT